ATGTCTTTTAGAAAGACATTTATCACTTTTTTAGGATGCAAGTGGATAATTCTCTTCAAGAGCTCAATTTATTCAAAGATGGTATTGAGAAGTTCAGAGACATGGGTACATTCTCTGCATAGCTATTATTCAAACCCCTACCCTATGGGAAAGCCCAACAGTATCACAAGCCCATGTGAAGCTATGGTATTAGATATCACTGGGTGACATTTAACCTTTTAATTTGATCTCCATTTAACATTGTACTACTCTCCTGGTTCAAGGACTTGATATGAATATATCATGAATACATGAATACATATGAATACAACTGCCCTTTTCACAACTTGCCTTTAGAATAGAATACTGTGGAATTTTAATTACTCCTTACTCCTTCCCAACTAATTGATCATCAAGTCTGTTTTAGACTTTCCGTACCAGTTACCTGTTGACTCCACTCATAGACAACGAATCCCAAACAGTATGGCTTCCCCTCACCATTAGAAGCACTGGTGTACCCTGCTGAAAATGACCATGCATCTTATTTTGCCCAAAGCCTTGATAGTTTACCTAATTTTTTTTTTACCATACTTACTGATATGCTCCCTTTTAAGTTCAAAATTACATGAATGCCCTATCTCTGCTATACCTTGGATTCGACCCAAAGTGTCAGAAGTTCACCCAAAAAAATCAGGTAAGTACAAATTCCCCACAACAAATGCATTGGTGCAGTTTATCTTTAGGGTTTTCAGAAATACATTCCTCAATGACTATATTATCTCAGAATAAGACATGGGGAAAATCAAATCTTAGGCTTAATGTCTAATATCCCTCTTGGATACCACATCCCTAAAAAAGAATTTTCCCTGAAAAAAGGACAGACTCAATGAGCTCTGTACTAGCCCATTCAGGAGAAAAAGTATCAAAAGAAAATATGTTGACTATGATGATTTAATAACATCCAAAAACTGCCTGCTGAACTATTGAATGCATGCAGTAAGAATTCTATTATAAATTGGAATAATACTTTTTCCATCAACTATCTTCATCTCCAACTTTTAAAAATAGTCTTTCAGATATCTGCTACATTTACACAGGAAAGATAAATTTCTATGTACTTTATTAAAACAATAACATCTTGCATACAAATTGTTTTCATTATTAATTTCAATTAAGTATATTTTAACACATTGTATACGTACACCTTTCTGATGTAATTTAAAATCTGATTTTCTGTAGGATATGTTTTTTATAAAGTGAACTTGATTTTGAGTATTTTTATATTTACCCAGAATTTTGAAAAAGTGATTTGTGAAAGTGATCTAATTACATGTGATTTGATATTACTTGTGAGTTTTGATGTTCTCTTTTTTAAAACCTGAACCTTTGCTTTTATTTGAGCATTCTAAACTCATTTAGCTATAAAAATAAACTCCCTGTGGACCCATTAAGTATGCTGCTAAGCAAGCCATCTAGTAGCATCTACAAACAGGAGTTCTGGATATGAGCCAGTGTTATAAGTTGAGAGGAGGTCAGTGCATTTTAAGACTGCACATCATTAAAAAAGAAAGGTGCTTTGCTGCTGAGCTTGTTTTCATTTCTTTTTTGAAAAAAATATGTATCTATTCACTTGTGCTAAATTTATTTTCATGTGTACTCCTGCCTTTGAAGCATCTTCCATATCGCTGTATAATTTTTTACCTAAAAAGGAATTGCTTCACTTGATAAAGCCTAAAAATAATCTCAAAAATCTATTTGTATACCTTTCCAGCATGGTTGTAAATTTTAGGGTGTTTTTCTTACATTCTTTCTATGAGAAAATTTTGTCATGAGTAAATATCAAGATGAAAATGGATGCTAAAATGTAAAGCTTCTCTGGCTTTTTAAATGGGTGTAGTTCATATTCTACTGAACTAAATCTGTATTATGTGGTTCAAGAGGTTTTGGGAATGACTTGTGGGAAGAATTTGGAAAGATTTGGAGATGTCACTGGAACAAGCAGAGCTGGAATGCCTTAGGCTATTTGTATGGGAGATCCTGATCAAAGCTCAGAAGACCAGAAGTTCTGATAGAAACTCTGCTAGCAAACACCAGGCTTGGGAGATTTCTGCTGGGGAGGAAAAAAAAATGGGTGCTGGACTCCAGACAATGTGTTTGTGGCTTGGCAGAAAGTTTGTCTGCATTTTGCTAGTGTCAAGAGACCTTGCCTGAGACTGAGATGAAGGGTGGTGGACTAATTAATCTGGCAGAAGAAATTTTGAGGTAGGTGAATGTTGTGGCTGTTAGCCTGATTTATGTTGAGAAGCAAGAGCAAATTGCCCAGTAGGATGATTTAAAATGCTGTGAGTTTAGCCAGAAAGGGAACTCCAGTAAAACTGTAAACTATAAGGATAGAGCAGAGGAGATTTGCATTGCTGAGAGGGAACAGGTGAATATAAACGATGGCCTGAAGACACCACAAGAAGCAACAAGCCTCTACTCATTGCAGGTTTGAAACTGCATGTGAAAGACTTTGCTTTAAGGAGAAAGCCACAGAGCCATGCTCCAGAACGGCAGCAGCATAGAAAATTTCTTCCTCTAAACTGGATTCATAGTGTTCAGTGTTCCAGGCACTGGACCCCTACAGCCAAGAGAGAAGGAAGCCTAGCCACTGTTCCAGCTGGCAGCAGACCTTGGCATCATCTACATATTCTGGTTTTAGGTTCATGCACAATGCAAGAATTGTGGGATTAAGAAGACTTCCACCCCAATTTCCGAAGGTAATGTGGGAGGTCAGGTAGTGTGCCCCTGAGAGGTCAGTGTGTGAAGCTGTGAGAGGAAAGTCAAGGGTGCAGTAGAGACCCCAGAACTGTGGAGAAGACAGGAATATGTATCATCTAAGAAAAGCTGCAAAGAGAGAAAAGCCAGCCAACAATAAAGCTATGGAGATACAACCACTGAAAGTGCTGTTGGGGTAGTGCTATCCAAGCTCTTTTGGAACTCACAAATTGCCACAGATTACCTCAGATACTGCCCATGGAACTACAAGACAATGTTTGTCCCACCAGATTGTGGACTTGTTTTGATACCAATCCATTGTATCCTCCTATTTGTAACTTTTGGAATGAAAATGTTTATCTTATGTGATTGATTATTGGAAACGCTTAGCTTTTAATTTGTACAGGGGCTCACAGCTAAGAGTTTGCCTTCTATCTCGGAGGAGGTTCGGGACTTGGACTTTTCAGCAATGCTGAAACTGTTAGAACTCTGGCAACTCTTACAGATGGACTGCCTTTTGCATAGAGGGATGTGAATGAGTCCTTAGGGGGCAGCATATTATGCTTGTAGTTGATAGCCTTAACTGGTTCTCAAGGATTGTTAAATCTGTGTTATAATGTTCAAGTTGTAAGATGATAAGAATAAGCATGTCTTTCTATCTGGAGACTGATTTAAGTAAATGCATCTGGTTGTAAGCTGACAGAGGTGGACTGTAATGGTTGATACATCATATCAACTTGAGAATTTTAGAAGTTTAAGTGACTCAGCAGGAGGCCAGGGTCCTCCCTTTGTAAACGTCTTAATCCTGTGGAAAAGGAAGACAAAGAGATAGTATGAGTGCTACTCCAACCCTCAGTGGCAGTAGCCTGCTTACAATAGAAGGAGGAAAAGAAAAAGAGGCTTGCTCTTCCCCCTTTTTGTCCTTGTTTCTTGTGTCACCTTGAAGTGTTGTCCCTGTGTCATTCCACCCTGCTTTGGAACCAGCTGATTATGGACTGAAACCTCTATAAACTGTAAACTACATAAACCTTTCCTCCCTTAATTTTGGCATCAAGTTTTGTGTCTTACCAACAAAAGAAAAGAAACAAGATGCCATATGTTCAGGCTTTCATTCAAAAAAGTAGCACAAGGTTTAACAGGTAAGACTGCTGGAACTGAGTCATTGTACTTTGGCACATTTAAAGTGCTTGGAAAGTAGAAACCAATGTGAAGAATTCTTTCAAGCAAACAAACAAAAAAAAATACATAAAAAGAAAAGAAATGCCTTTGTTTATATAAGGTTTTTCTCCCTCAAGAGACCCAAGAACTAAAATTAGAAATCAAGGCAACTTCAAAGAAATTTGGATGCATAGCCCAACTGGCAAGGAGATAAAGACAGATATCAGAACAGAACTCTGCTTCTGCATTTAACTGCATGATCACAATAAGCACGAAATGGCAGAATAGCTGGTAGGAAAACAGAAGCCAGAAACACTCATTAGAAGGAAGGGTGAGATCAGGAGAGGAACCCCCAGTGAAACACTCCAGGCCAATACTTCAAAGCTAAAGCCTATGGGGGCCGGAGAGATAGCTCAGTTGGGCATGTCACGCTGGCCAATGAAACCAGGTGTGGTGGTGCAGGCCTATAATCCCAGCATTGAGGAGGTGAAACAGGAAGATCACTATGAGTCTGACCTGCACAGGGAGACCCTGTACCAAATACATAAAATTTAAAACAAAACAAAACAAAACAAAACAAAACAAAAACTAAAGCCTATGATAATCTTTCTAGAAGAAATTAATAGAACTGAAAGAGGGTACTGATAGCACTGGAGAGATAGGGAATGAGATTTAAAGCATAGGATAGTTCTAAAAAAGATAAAGTTAGCTTGATGTTCTGAAGCATGCCTATAATCTCAGCATGGGAAGGTTGAGGCAGGATCTGGGAGTTCAAGGCTAGCCTGAAATACATGTCAATACCCGGTCTCAAACAACAACAACAAAAAGACAAAATTACAAATATACATATGTAAGGCTTGTATACATAACATGTGATAGATTTCCTATCATTTTTAGGTTCCTGTGCTTATAAAAAGACTTAGTGCGCAAACATAAAACCTGATATACATGATTATAGTAGATAAGAGCAGGGTGGTTTTATCTGATAACTAGGTTATGCTAAATACTACTGATTGTTCAGAAAGCAAGAAAAAATGTGATTGTGTGAGCATATTTCATTTTTCCATTTTGATCTCTGAGAAATTGGTATAAAATTCCAAAATTTTGTGCTTGTTTCCACAGCACATATACTAAAATTGGAATGATACAGAGATTGGCATTGCCCTGTGGAAGGAAGACTCACAGATTTTCCTAAGTATAAAGCAATGAATAGAATAAGCTTTTTCTTCACACAGTATTTCTGCAGTTCTTTCCTAAAAGGAAAAGTAAGCACACAAGACACACACACACACACACACACACACACACACACACGAAGGACATGCACACACTGCACAGAGAAGGATCGGGGAGGAGAAAGACAGAAGGGAGAGAAAAAGTGCACATACACATAACATATGGCATATATTTATATTTAAAATTAACATAAATTCTCCCATGTGGGCTTTTCAACCCAGTACTACCTTGGAATTATAAGAAACTCACTAGGGTAGTATAAAACCAATGTTTTCAATCACTGATCTCAAGAGAAATAATATTTGAGGCTTCTGATTATATAAATACCAGCACCTCCATTTATATGTTTGCCTTTTCAGTCTAGAGGGACAAACAGAACAATTAAGGAACAACCTGTACAACATAAATCATTTAAAGCTTTCTTACCTCCCCTCTCAAGATTCAAGATTTTTCTGCCTCCAAAGAGAAAGTGGTCTAACATTTATGAGTAATATACTTCATGAAAAATGTGTTTCATGAAACTGGATATTGAAAGATTATAGTCATATGTTTAAAGTAAAGCAGAGAGTGAAAAAAAAAAAATCTAAAATCCAGAAGGAAATTAATGAAGATCCTGACCAAACTAGAATTTGTATACCACATTTTTTTTTTTTTTTTTTTTGTAGAATCGGGGATTGAACTCAGGCCCTTGTGCTTGCTAGGCAAGCACTTATTCCACTGAGTTATCTCCCCGGTCCCCTACAACATGGTATAAGGTAGAAGAAGCAACATGAATGACTTTTCTTTTAAAGATAAGCCTGTTATGCCCAACAACAAGAACAACGATGACTAACAGAAAAACAGCAGTCAGCTTACACCAAATAGATTTGTATGAAAAGATATTAAAAGAAGACCAAGTAAGAAGATAAGATTCAGGGTGGGTAAAGAATTGAAGAATTAGTACTTAAAGGAAAGTTGGTAATATTGTAGAATTGGTGGAAAATAAGGCACCAACATTTGGTAATATCTGCTTTAACAAAAACAGCCTTCATTTCAATCAAAAAAAGTAAAAGCAATATAATGCCCAGAAGAATTTGTGAAATATTTTGGATATATATAGGACTGAGGCTATATTTTGAGGATGAAATCATGTATGTCACTTGCTAAGTGTGTTGGCAAAATGGCCTGAAATGCAAGTTACTTTCGTGATATACATATGCATCGTGATACTGGTTCCTAAAATGACTCCACTCCCAGCAAGTTCTTTGCATATATAAGAAAGGAAACTTAGGAGCTTTATATATTATAATATCAGAAGGTTCAATATTGAATTTAACCTACAAAGTGGAACACTGATGTGATTTCTTGTCTCTGTTGATATTTGTTCAATACAGAATTGTATATGTCATATTATAAAAGCATTTTTAAAGGAACATATCATTAAAAAATAAACTCAACTTGAAACTGACAACTAGCAAGGAATATATGATAAAATTTTGAAAAGCCACTGTGCTGATAATCAACGCAGGCAATAGTAGAATTACTATTTTCTATGTGGCAAAGACATAAACATAGCCTGGCAAGGGACTGTTATTCAATCACACACTATAGAAAAATGAACTATAGATGAAGTCTGTAACAGTTCCATGAGAAGAGATTAGGACAAAAATACTCCCGAAAATTCTAATCTTGGAGGAAAGTAGATTTACTGACATCTCTACCAAAGTGTTACAGCCAAAGATTTTCTTACAACTTTATTTTTTTTCATAGCTTAAGATAATTAAATGATGGTGTCTAATAATTTTTATCTAGATAAAAATGTAAGCCAATGTATCAAACATAGCACACTTCCATGAAAAAAAAAATTTAAACACGATTTTTAAAAACACATTTTGTGCTCACTCCAGCAGCACATATACTGAAAAACACATTTCTAATACTTTTTATGGTACTAGGGGCACCAGGGCTCGCGCGTGTTAGACAAGTACTCTACCACTGAGTTGTATCTCTAGCCCTAAACACAAATCTCTAAAACAAAGTTTTACATGAATAATTTTTTTTAAGTATTAACAATACTCAAGGGCCAGCCAGATAGCTCAGCAGATTAAAGAGCCTGCTCAGGTAAATGCTGGAGTTGGGGTTCCATCCTCACCTGCTGTGCCAGCTCCGCCCCCAAGGCACACAAAGAGGCTGACTGAGACTGAGAGTGGTGGCACATGCCTGTCATCCCAGCTCTTGGGAGGTTGAAAACAGGAGGATCACTATGAGTCAGATCTACATAGTGAGACCCTGTAGACCCTGTACTAATACATTAAAAAAAAATTAAAAAACCTTCAAAATTAGTAACTAATGCAAAAGGGGGAAAATGATTCAGTATCTTACTGAGAAACATTAGGGTTACATGAAAGTGGAGGATGCCAACTTAAATTTTATTTTATTATAATTAGAATACTACATTTAACTAGAATTAACAAGTACTATACAATACAAAATTGAGTTGAAACCAGCTAAATAAGTGCTTCCTTTTATAGACCAGGAATCTTGTCTACAAAGGAAGCAACTTGCCAAAAATCTAACTTACACATAGGGATGTAAAGCACTTGGAGCCAAGGGCCATGCTAAGCCACAATATTCACCCTACACTCAGCACAGTGCCCAGCCACTAAGAAACTCATTAAATAGGTTATCCAAGTGGCTTACTCTTCAAAAACCTTTAATGACAGAAAAAACGATGTTACCATCTCTACCCATTTAGGTGCAATAATTCAAGCAAAATCTAGATTTATTGCATTTTATTGTCTAGCAAATTAAAACTGAAAAAATTGCAAGTATGTGATTGTTCCTCTCATTCATATGGTCAGGCACACTGGGGGCAATGTATGGTCAGAAGCATTAACTGGTATGCCCTCTTGTATAATTTTCCCATTGCTGCCAGGGAGGATTACAAATATTCTCCAGTGGGAGCATCACTTGACTTAATCAAGTTTGATTAAACAATTTAAAAAGTAACATACCATGCTAGTTAAGATCTTGAAATTTGCCTTGTTTATTTTATGTATTTATTTATTTGTATTTAGTACAGGGTCTACAGGATTTCATTACACAGACTTGCAATGATCAGACTCAGAGTGATCCTCCTGTTTTCAGACTCCCATGTGCTAGGATTACAGGCACATGCCACCACATCCAGTTTCAATCTAGGTCTCAGCACACCCCGGGAGTGGCGCTAGCAGGGCAAGGCACTCCAGTAAGTAGGCACTTTAATCTGCTGAGCTATCTGGCCTTGTTTAAATTCATGGGCTTTCTGCATAGGATTTAAGGGATTAGTTTTTATAACATTTGCTGTTAGTTTACTCACTTGTAAATTTTGTAAACTGGGCATGGTGGCCCATGTCTCTAATCCCAGTGCTCAGGGAGGCTGAGGCAGGAGGACTGAAAATTCAAGCCTACCCTGAGCTACTTAGCAAGACCCAGTCAACAGATAAAAAGGGCTGAGAATGTAGCCCAGTGCTAAGTCCCTTGGTATAACCCCAAAAACTATCACCCAAAAGATGGAAAACATATTACATGATAGCTATGTGTATCTTACAACTAATATTTGTAAGGTACACAGAACATGCCCATCATATTGTGAAGGCATTTCTGAATGTATTTATGAATCAACTGCTACAATGTATACATCATCAGTTGCATACTAGCTTGGTCATTATTATCATTTGTTCCCTTGTAAGACTGAGAATAATTTCTTACAACAATTTCTGGGGGGGCCAGGGAGATGGCTCAGTAGAATAAGCACTTCCCAGGCAAGCACAAGGGTCTGAGTTCAATCCCCAGTTCTGAAAAAAAAAATTCTGGACAACTGATTTTACATGCCCAAAAGAAAGAAAATGTTGCCTTTGTAGGAAGTAAATTGAGGTAACCTAAATCACTGAATTATTTGCCCAAACTTGGCTTCTTACACCACTTTTTTTATATACTGCTTGCGAACTCCTTGGTAAACTTTCCAAAAATGTTAAGACTGTGAATGCTTTGTCTACACACACAGTAGAAGAGAAACAGTGCTGAGAGTGTGGGGGATTTTTCCATTCTGCTGAGAGCAATCATGACAACCACAATGGCTAGGAAACCTACGCATACATTCTTTTTCCCCTGTTTGGTAAATACTGAGCAATAATTTGTGTCCTCCTTCAGAGAGCAACAGAAGCGTATTTTAGTAGTAATCGTGTAGCTTCCAATCCTTAGTGACACAGCAGATATAAACTGCTTCTTGGGATGTTTAGCATATTATCAGAACAAGCCAGGTGTGAAATGTAATCTATCTAGTAAATGGGGAATAAAATTATTTGAAGATTAATCAGTTACAGGAAAAAGTAGATAAAACATGAGAAAAGGAGCGTGTAGGATTCTTCTAACATATGAGAACCAAAAGCTACAATTGATTATTTTCTCTTCAGTTATTCCATGATTTTCTTGTCTCCAAAGAACTGAAACAAATGTGAAGCTTCAAACTACTGTTCTAAAAATATCTATATTACAGTGAAGTCAAACATATTAATTTATCAATGCTTACACAGATTTAGTTATCTCTTAAAATGGATTATAATCATTACCCCTGCTCATAAAGAAGAACCTCCCCGTGGGCATTCATCTGTACGGAACAGCACCCTGCAATTTTAGCTACCCATTTCCATCATAATGGCACACAAACACACATATGCTCATGTGTTTTTCTGTCTTTACCCCTCAATCTCAGTTTCATTAGACCAATACCACAATCTACAAACAATGTACGAGGCACAAATACACAAACTCGTATTTCACAACTGAAATTGTCATTCATTTCATACAATCACCCATCATACTTAAAAATAAAGACAGACTAGGCAGGTATTTCAAATCTGAAAGCTGAGGCAGACAAATGTTTAGTAAATTCTTACAGCTGGTGAGTGGTAACACCTAGTCTTATAGCTGCTGAGACAAAACTCAGGCACATATG